TATTTTGAAGTGAAAAACCAAACGGGCCAAAAACACCCTACGGGTCTGATAAATGTCCTGGGCGAACCGCATGTGGCCTCCGGGCCTTAGTTTGAGGATGCCTGCTAGAGGGTCGTTTTGTTTTGTGTCTTGCTGTAGTCCTTATAGGAAAGGGACCTTCCCTCGGTAGGTTCTCACTGAAAGCCTTTAGACTAGTTAAACCCACCCCACTCCCGTGCAGCCAATTCTGACTCATAGTAACACGGTATAGAACTTCCGAGGTTATGAATCTTTATAGGTGCAGATAACCTCTTCTTTTTTCCTTGGAGCCGCTGGTGGGTTCAAACTACTGACCTTGTGGTTAGCAGTCCTCTGCTTACCGGGCAGTGCCAAGGGCAAACAATTTGTGCCCCTCCAGAAATCTTGCTGGAGGTCCAGCCTGGTAGGTGCAGGGTTAGTTGGGACTGAGGGATTGGGCCACATTCATTCCACAAGGCCATGCATTTATTCAACATTTCCCTGGACCATCCCCACTCCCTACCTCTGATGCCATCTCAAGAAACAAGACTGGCACAGAAACTCTGCCTACCAGGAAGAACCCAGGGCAGGTTGGCCCAGATCATGGGCTAGAAGAATGGGACTGACTCAGCAGGGCTTTGAGCCAGCTCTGCTCTGGAATCTGAAACTGCCAGCCGGGGGCTGACGTGCAGACAGCCACTCACTCACTTAGTTGGGGGCCTGGCGGGGCCAACTGCCAGAATGGCTGATCCCAGCAATGGTGACAGGCAGGCGGGAAGGACACAGAGGAAAGCCCCAGTGAGGAATCAGTCCAGATGGCTGGCAGCAGGCCTGTCTACCCCCCACCCCTGGGCCCTGGCCTCCCTCCAAGTAGGGACACAGCCATCTCAGGCTACCCTGTGCAGTTTCCCACCCCTGACTGCAAACTTTTGCTTCTCGGCCCTGAGGAAACTGATCAGTGAAGGGCTCATCTTATTGGGTCTGCTTGTGGGACCCTTCGTGGAGTGGTGGATTACGCCTTGGGCTGCTAACCATACAGCCAGCAGTTTGAACCCACCAGCCACTCCCAGGGAGAAAGACCAGGCTTTCTGCTCCCATAGAGATGTCTCCTCCCCAAAGGAAGCGGATCTTCTCTGACCTCTAGGATTGCTATGATTCAGAATCAACTCGATGGCAGTGGGTCACTTAGCCCAAGGTAGGTGACAATGGGAGCTCCCAGGGAAACGTCTCATCTCCCACACGAGACCCAGACTCTATTCCCAGCCAAGACACCTCTTATGTAACCAGCACCTGTAACAACAGCTTGCATGTTGCCAGTACGCTGAGTAGATTTCCGTGGTGCTTCGGGGCAGACTAGGAAGAAAGGCCTGGCGATTGACTTCTAAACATCAGCTAAGGAAAATCCCATGGATGACAAAATTGCAGGTCCCATGCACTGCCAAAAGGGCAAACATCTGCCTCTGAAGAAGTACTCCTCTGAGGCAAGGATGGGGAGACTTCATTTCAAACACCTTGGAAAGGGTAGGGGGAAGGCGGAGAGAGGAAGGGAGGAAGGGGGAACTGATTGCAATGATCAGCACACCACCACACAGAGCGGTTGGTGTAAGATATGAAAATAATAATTTATCATTTATCAGGGGGTCACGAGGGTGAGGGGCAGAGGGAAAAAAAGAGGAGAAGAGGAGTTGATACCAAGGGCTCAAATAGAAAGTCCATGCCCAGAAAAGAATGATGGCAACATAGGTACACACATGCTTGATACAATTGATGTATGGATTGTTGTGAGCTGTAAGAGCCGCCAAATAAAATGATCTTTTCATTAAAAAACAAAACACTGTGGACGTCTTGTCAGGAATGACCAGTCCCTGGAGAAGGACATCAAGCCCCTCCTCGGTAAAGGGGAGGGGTAGCGGAAAAGAGGAAGGCCCTGAACAAGATGGGTTGACACAGTGGCTGCAGCCTGGGAACAATTGCGAAGATGGCGCAGGCGCGGGCAGCGTTTCCTTCTGCTGTGCACAGCGTTGACCGGACGGCACCTACGAAAAACAACAACCTGTATGATAAGGACCTGGTCTGAAAGCCATCGTGGAGATGACGCAGGTCCGCGTCCAGGCGGTGTTTCCTTCACAGCACTGTGTGACATTGCTGTGAGTCTGCCTCAGCTGTAGGCAGCGGCCAGCGACAACCACTTTCTCCCAGGACCGTGGTCTTTTCTCAGTGTTCAGGGGTCTCCTCCATGCCAGGTGGCAGAAAGCACACACATTGCCAAAGGGCCGTGCGGGCACCCATTCAGCTATGAGCGAGCCACAGAAGAATTTGTCCCAGGGCTCTGGATTGCATCCCAAAAAAGCTGTTGTTCTGTGGCGCTCGCCCTCTGACCCAGTAACAACACAGCTGCCCGGCCTGCTAGCTTGGTCACAGCGTGCTCTCGGGCCCCGTGCTGGGGCCTTGGTGAGCAAGACCCAGATCCCTTCATGGGGCATTGCACAGGTGACACACGTGAGCAAGCATGTCTCGGCCAAAAAGCAGTCCGGCTGACTTGTTTGTAACGGGCTGGGGGCAGGCGGGCCATGTGCTCAAGGACAGTGTCTTAGGACAGACCCATCTGGGTCTGTTGACTCTGCGTGTAGCTCCAGCTTTACTTCTGTGAGGTTAATAGGCTCGTGCTACACCAGCGTGGGCTTTCAACCGACTACCTCTAAGCAATCACTACATCCACGTATATGGGGAGAGAAGTGTGAGCAGTAGTGGCTGGCATCCGTGGTTTCCGTGTCCTCAGATTCAGCAAACCAAGGCTGGAGGGGGTGGGACATGGGCAATTCAGTAGTCAAGGAATGCTCTCCAAGGTTCACTCAACTCTCTGTCATTGAGTCAATTCTGACTCATGGTGACCCTTTAGGACAGGGTAGAACTGCCTCTGTGGGTTTCCAAGATTTTAACTCTTGATAGGAGCAGGAAGCCTCAGCTTTCTCCCAAGTGTGGGAACAGGTCCAGCCGCAGGAGAGGGAGGGAGACGGAGTCACCGACCGACCGACGCATGTGCACACAGATCCTGGAGACCAGGCTCTGATGGTGCTGATCTATTTTATTGTTGTCTTTCCGCAGTATATATAGGGCGCATCAGCCAATCAAATGTTACCGCGCTTACTTCCTTGTTCTAACATTTATCCTTAAATGGTTATGAAATTGCGCTAACGAGGAAGAGGCAGCAGGCGTTGGCCAGGGGCTAGCGCATGCAGAGGACTGTGGAAGCTTACAGAGCGTGCTAGTTCTCGAAGCCGTTGTGTCTCACCAGTGTGCCGGGAGCCATTTTACAGAGAAATGGTTTGCCAATGTCTCAGGCCTGCTCGAGAAGGCTGAGCAACATTCTGCACTTTCTACGCTGTTCCTCCTTCATGCATTCCAACTCCACAGCTATTAACCCCACACCCAAGGGGCTGGCTGGTGGTTTTGAACTGCTGACCTTGAGATTAGCAACCCATGCATTACCACTGTGCCACCAGGGTTCCTTAGTGTATAATCAGCAATGGAGACATGCTGTCAAGTAGGGAGGATGTGCTTAGGTTATATGCGAATATTATACCATCTTATATAGATTTTAAAAACCAACTGAGTGGATTCTAATTACTAATAGGACAGAGGAGAGCTGCCCCTGCAGGTTTCCAAGGCTGTAAATCTTTATGGGACCAGGAAGCCTCATCCTTCTCCTAAGGGGTGGCTGGTGGATTTGAACTGCTGACCTTGCAATCCTTGTAGTT